GTAAAAAAGAGTTCTGGCTTGAACTTGAGAAGTTGATTTTGTCTAACCTTATGAAATCTCTTGAGAATACTTAAAGGTGATTCAGCGAAGAGGAAGTGAACTGATCTTCCCTCTCTTAAGTGATCCACCAAGGAGAGGAAGGGAATCCAGAACTTTCAGGAGCAAAGTCATATGTTAGAAAGGTGTCCATCATATATTCATTCAACAGACACCTACTGAACACTGAGCTCATGAGTTAGGAGGTGGGGACCCCACCTCGAATCAGAGAGCAGTCCCACTCTCAACGAGCTGATGGCTGGCCTAACTGAGGAGACAAATATTAAGTGACTATACAAACAATTATAAAATCCTAAGTATCATAAGTGCAGTGAAGGTGACATGGGCAGTTTTAGGTCTGTCTAGTAGGTCAGGAAGGGCTTCCCCAGAAAAGGGACATTCGTTGTAGAATATGAAAGATAAGTTGGAGAGATGCTGAGCAGCACTGAGAGATCCATGGCTTCCACTCTTCGGTGCTCACTAGTATCATTCAGTGAAACAGAAAACACCAGCAGACAGGAAGGCCTGGTGTGGGTAGATAGGGAAAAGAACAAGTTCTGTTTGGGACTTTACTGTGAGGTTCATTTGAGCCAGAGAAGAGTGAATATCAAATATAGAATTGGATATTACTAGATATACCAAGGACAATATGCAGACAAAAGCGTGGAAACGTGAGGAGTGGTCTGGCTCAAGGGACATGTTTGCGAGTCACCACCATGCTGTGCGGTAACCGAAGCCCTGGGTGCGCACGAGTTCTTCTGAGGACAGAGTGCAGATGGTGCAGAGAAGGGGGCCTGGGGGCCACCTTGAGGAGCTCTAACATTCCAACTGTATGTAAAGAAGGATGAGTTTGCCAAGAAAGCAGAGACATTTCCTGATCAGCAGGAGGAAAAGCAGGAGACGGTGCATTGAATGAAGTTGAGGGAGGATTCTTTGGACTATTGGTGTGACATTTTTGTAAGTCTAAAATTATTTCAAAACAAACAGTAAAAATCAGTTTATTAGGGCTTATTAGGATGGAGGAGGGCCCATCTTCTCCATGGTGGATAACTGCCCCCCATCAATAGGGACCTTCCTTAGTAGGGGTCCTCATCTTCCATATCCTCTTCAAAGAGCCACTTTAACTCCTCAAAGCTTCCTCCTCCTCATGCCCCTACACTTATCTCTGCATTCAAACCAGTGTCATTCCAGGACATAAACTGTGAAAAACGGGTGGATCATTTATTTTTCAACACTTTATATTTAAAGAAATGCTATTGGCTTTTAAACGTATGCTACATTTTAATATATCCCCACTTATTTATTAAACAAACATATACATACATTTAATTGAGGACACTACTACCAATTTGTACCAGTCAGGATAGGTCAGGTTTGACAGTAACAAACAAGCCCCAAGTCCTGGGGGCTAAAAGAACAAAGGTTTGCTTTCTGCTCAAGTGCTCCATCTAGTGTGGGTTGTGGGAGAGCTTGGTTTGTATTTATCACTCTAAGACTGCTCCATCTTGACAACTGTTTCCATGATTGCTGTGGTGGGGAAGGCAGGGCTCAGTCAAGCACTGCAGCTGAGTGCTTCAGCCTGGGAGCTACACACATCGTTTCTGCTCACCCTTCATTAGCTGCAGGCAAGCACTGGTTGTGCCTGACTTCATGGGAGTGTGGAAGTATCCTTCCTGTGTATATGAAATAGAAGAAATCCAGAACCAGTCCATGCAATGTAAGGTTCTACCACAAGCAATAAAAGTCAGTAAAATCTCAACACTGTGGCAGAAACAGCTAATTGCTTAGTCAGTGTTCATTCTCTACTTCCTAATAGTACTCTTGTATGTCAATACCTACTGAAAAGTATCTAACTCTACAGATATCCTATTAGCTAAGTGGGGACATATGACCCAATTTTGGGTGTTTGGACAGAATCAGAAGTCACTAGGGGTGGGGCTTAAAGCAAAAAAATCTTTTTGGTGATCTGACAATGCTGGCTTGTGCCTTTGGCCTCTGTCCCTCCCCTGCCGTCCATCTTCTTCCTCCCATCTTGGACCCTGGACACGGTGGGAGCACGGCAGCTATCCTGTGATCCCAGCACAGGAGCCTCACCCTGAGGACGAAGCGGGGCAGGACTACTTACGGGGACTGGTCTTGGAGCTGGTGTTGAGCCGCTAGATCAGCTGTGGGCTTCTTCCCCCACATCACTGCAGACAAATAAGCCAGCACTGTTAGGTCCTCTGTTACTTGCAGACAAACCCAATCTAAATGATGCAAATAAAACATTTCTATTATCACATGCCATAAATAATGATGTATTCATACGGTATAATTCTGGGCATTTTAGAAATATTTACAAAAATTGTCACAATAACATCACCTTTCAGGTAGTTAAATGGCATATAACTTTCTATAATGAATTTAGAACAATTTTTCTACAGGAAAATGGAGGGAAAATAAAATATTATCTACATGTGAGGCCCACTTTGGGGAATAAGTTGTATGCTTTGAACTTCTTGTAAAACCAATCTAACGAAATAAATTAAGACATTAAAGTTAGTTATTCAAACATTGATAGTGATAAATATAGCAGTTGTATCCATTCCTCCTCCAGGTAATCAAGACATTCTGGTTTTTTGATGTAAATTATTTTTTAAACATGCAGTTCATTTAGCAATACATGTATTGACAGCTGCACCTTCAAAAAAACTTAAAAAACCAGGGAACACAACATTAACTTGTTACTAAACTAAAAGAAACTTAGCTGAGATAGTGTTTCGGAAATCGCTAGGGATTTCTTTGAAAAGAAAACAAAAGCATTTACTGGGGTATAAAATTAAATTCATTATTTGGCAAATTTCTTGCTAAAATACCATGTCCACATGCATCTCTGTCCCAGCAATTCTGTTTTGTTGTGAATTATGTAGAACTTATTTTAATGTGTTTGCTTTACTTAAAAAAAGGAATGAATTGTAGTAATCTTTTCATCATGCTTGCCTCACCAGCGGGGAGCTCTTAGGAGAGCTGTTCCAGGTGTAAGAACCCCATCGGAATCCTTCCGCCTTTCTGAAACGCCCATGCAGGATCTTGAGGGCCTCTGGCCAGCGTTATTTTTTTTTAATCTCCCCTATTCCTTTAAACTTTATTTATATGAATAAAAGAACCTGAGACAATTTAGCTCAATTTTAATATTTTCCAAGCATTATTTTGACCAGGTAGCCAGGTTTAAGTAATGAACATTGACAGTGTCCATTATATAACTACACTTGCAGTTATTAAGGACTTAACCATTTTCTAATGCTAGCCTATTTTCTACACTGCTTTTCACATATATGCCCATTAAAAAATGGAATGTCTGTTACATTGATTGGTTTGTGAGTGTTTCTAGAAAACTGCAGTATGTGTGAAGGCCAATTTCCATGCTGGCATTGCATGCTTCCAAATATTAATGCACAGAGGCACAGAATTAGAGAAACAAGAGAGCATATTCAAACACTAGCATGCCCCATTTCCCTTTTGATTGCTTGTTTGCTTAGTACTTCTTAAAACAAAGAGAAAGAATTGAATTCAACGTTCAACTACCAAAGAAAGAGTAACAGCAGGGCACATACTCAGGGCTCGAATGAAATTGTAAGCACAGTAGACATTGGTATAACCTTATTATCCAAAACTCTTCTCAACCAGGGCCTTCCAAACAAATTGGTAACAATATGATTTATGTTGAAATATACGCAATAAATAACAATGTGTTCTTTGGGAATTTAAGAACTCAGACTATCCAAATTTGAATTCAGGTCTGTAGGAAGTGAGAAGCATGTACTAAGCAACTGTGCCACATTTCTGCTGCAGTTAGGTTATTTTGGACAATTATATGTAAACCATCCTTGGTTTCATCCAGCAAAATATATAGAGTACAAACAGGAAAGCATGCCAGCCAGTTAGGGGTTTAATAACGTGTGGTTTTTATTCTCTTGCTCTGAAAACTTGTATCAAAAAAAATTTAAATTAAGGAAAATAACTCAAGATTTATGGGCCTCATGTGCTTTAAAAAAGAAAAAAAAAGTACCTACTAATTTGCTCAGATATAGCAGGCTTAATGGTTCCATATTTTGAAAAGCTGTTAAGAATGGTTTCTAACGCAGGAGAGGGAAAACATCCACTATCCCTTTTCAGAATTTAAATGGAGGGCAGAAACATTCTTTACACCCAAAACCTATGGCAGCAGTTCAAATTTGACCAAGGTAAATGTAGATGGAGATGTTCTAAACACAGCTAGGACTCAGCAAGTCTAACACACTAAAATCATATGATTACATTTTAAATGAAAATGCACAAAAACCAATTAGAAATTTTGAGATTTTTTTCATTTGAAGGTAATCTTAATGCTGTTAAATTCACAAATGCTAATTTAAATACCCAATCCTATTTATCTAAAACACACATTGCAAACACACAAATTATCTATTCTCTCCACATGTCAGCGCCCATTCATACCATGGTTTGGAAATGGGGAGAATAGATTCCCCTTAAACTGCAAGTGCAGTTGTCTCTTTACAGTTAACTTTAGCAAAATTCATACAAAATAGTGATTAACAATGATCTTTACTTGTTAACTCACAAGGAAACACCTTCAAAACTGCAATTTGTTAAAGTTTCTGTACTAAAATGTAGAAAAACTGAACTAAACAAATAACAAAATGTTAAAAATTCCTTAATTTTTTATTTCTGGTACCACTACCACAATTTACAGGGCAATATACCTGATGTAATGAAAAGAAAAAGAAAAAGAAAAAGACAAAGCTACAACAGAAAGACCTCTGGAATGTACATCGAATTGACACCACATTGCATTAATCAATAGCTGTACTTTATGCAAACTGTGGCTATGACAGTCCTGAACAAGAAGGGTTTCCTGTTTAAGCTGCAGTAACTTTTCTGACTATGGATCATTGTTTCTTCTGTGGCAGATTTCTACAATTCCTCTAATGCATTTGGAGCAACTGTCTCAAAGTAACCTGCAGCTTTCCTGACAACTCCTCGCTCTCTCTCCTTCTAAGAGTTGTAGCCCTTTTCTGCTGTTTTAAGAACCTCCTGCTACCATATCCACCATTTCCACCACCAGATCCATAACCACCACCATAGGGACTGCCTGAGCTTCTTCTACCAAAACTACCCCCGTTCATGGGTCCATAATTTGATTGCTGTTGTCCACTATAATTTCCAAAATCATTATAGTTCCCACCACCACCATAGTTCCCACCGCCAACATTTCCTCCTTCATGGTAACCATCATATCCTCCACCACCTTGGTTTCCATATTCTGGTCCACCACCACCATAGGCCCCTCTACTACTATAAACAGGACCACCGCCATAGTTACCACCATTACCTCCAAATCCATTATATCCACATCACCTCCTCCATAACTACATCTCCTGCCCCCACCTCCACCACCATAGCCTCCTCTTCCACCAAAGTTTCCACCACAGCCAAAATTACCTCCACCACTTCCAAAGTTTCCTCCATGACCCATAAAATTGCCAGATCCACCTCCACGACCCCTCTGTGATCCAGCAGACTGCATCTCTTGTTTAGAAAGGGCCTTTTTCACATCACAATTATGCCCATTAATAGTGTGGTATTTCTGAACAACAATTTTATCAGCTGTATCATGATCATTAAAAGTTACAAAAGCAAATCCTCTCTTTTTTCCACTCTGCCTGTCTTCCATAACTTCTATGGTTTCAATCTTGCCATACTTTTCAAAGTAGTCTCTCAAATTATATTCTTCTGTATTTTCTTTAATACCACCAACAAAAATGTTCTTCACTGTTAGATGGGCACCAGGCTTTCCAGAATCCTCTCTAGAAACAGCTCTCTTTGGTTCCACTACACGCCCATCAACCTTGTGTGGTCGAGTACACATTGCTGCATCCACCTCTTTAACACAAGAATAAGTCACAAAACCAAATCCCCTGGAACGTTTTGTTTGGAAGTCTGTCATTACCACACAATCTGTGAGTGTGCCCCATTTCTCAAAATGTTCTCTTAAACTATCATCTGTAGTTTCAAAGCTCAGACCACCAATAAACAGTTTTCTCAACTGCTCTGGTTCCTTTGGATCATGGCCCTCCTCCCCCTGGCGGCGAGTCGGGCTGGGGGCGAGTTGGGCTGGGGGGCACCGAGTGGCGGTTTGACCTCCATTTTGAGACAGGACTCACCTCTTCCAACTCGAGCTCAATATGGGACCCAGAGGAAGGTGACCAGCGTTTTCATTTAGACAATTCTGCCTGGATCAGCACACTTTCCCTCTAAAGTTCAGGACTTACTCTGAACTTACTTGATAACTTGTTCTGACTTCAGGAAAAACCACATTATCTTGCAGTATCTCAATCGAGCCACTGACAGGGGCCTGAAAATGGCTTTTTAAATGATGAGATGAGGCCAGTATGTACTTTTGGATCAAAAGTGAAGTAAGGAGGAGCCAGGGAAGATGAGAGTTGCAGGTGATTTTGGTGCTCTAGATGCCCTAGACCTGGGAATGGGGGGAGGGTCAGGGATGCTGGCTGGAAAACATTTTTTCCTGAGCTGTGGACATATCAATATTTCTCACTCCACATTTCTACCACATTTGGTTATTATTTGAACATGTTTTGCATGTTTTACTTGCATGCAAATATTCTCCCCAAATCCACTGTTTCAGTGCTAAGCAGCCCAGCTCCAGTCCCGTCTTCTCTGGGAGCTTTCCAGATCTCGCCATCTTCCTCTGAGATACCACAGCTTTCTGTCTGTGTTTGACTGTGCCATGTCTTGAGCCTGCCCTCTCACTGTTCTGCCAGCTCTTAGAAGGCTGGCATCATTCTTATTCTTCTCTGACTGTCCCAGGTGTTTGGCACGCAGTGGATGAATCTAGGAGCTTCATGTGTGCTTGAACAGAATGAAAGGACAGCTGTGATTTTCTCCTCTGTGCGGCTGATGCCTTCTCTGTCCCGTCCAGAAGCAGGATTGCATTGAGATCCCTGGAGTTGTCTGTGGCCCTTGTAAAATTAAATGCCAAGAGAATCCTGGTTAACAGAAGAAATGGAGAAGGACCAACTTCTAGTTTTCTATGCCAGAGGTCAGGGCATTGCTTCTTCTCTGTGAATTGCTCTGACTTGCTGAATTGAAACTTTCTTTACTTTTGGGCAGATAAGAGTAATTTGGGGGCAGATAAGAGCTTCTGGGAAGTCGTCATTGCAAAGGGCTTGGCAGTGATGCTGCTACAAAATGATTATCCAGGACTTGTTTTTTTCCTAGTTTGAATTATTTTAAAAAACCTAAGAATTACTTGATTAAAAAATAATAGGTCAAGACCTTCTGGCACTACTGAAACTTCTGAGTGGCCCTCAGATGGTCACTTGAGAATCTATTCAGACAACCCAGCAGTTGGCAGATGTAACACTCATCATGCCTCTGCACTCTTTTGTCATTAGTTGATTACATAACAAGTATCAGCGGGCTGGGCGCGGTTTCTCATGCCTGTAATCCCGGCACTTTGGAAGTCTGAGGCAGGCGGATCACAAGGTCAGGAGATTGAGACCATCCTGGCTAACACGGTGAAACCCTGTCTCTACTGAAAGTAAAAAAAATTAGCCAGGCGTGGTGGCGGGCGCCTGTAGTCCCAGCTACTTGGGAGGCTGAGGCAGGAGAACGGCGTGAATCTAGGAAGCAGAACTTGTAGTGAGCCAAGATCGTGCCACTGCACTCCAGCCTGAGCGACAGAGCGAGACTCTTTCTCAAAAAACAAACAAACAAAAAACAAATAGCAAACATGAAGTTGTGTGCCCGAGTGAAGCCCTAGCAAAGGAATCAAAGAGCAAACTGTTACATGTAGGTCAGCAACTGTTGGTGTGCTCCATGGGGAATTTACCATCAGGGCACACTTGGGCCCCCACTGCGCCACCATCACTGCTGGCCTCCCTGCCCAGGGGAAGGACTCCATGTTCCTCTCCCAGGCGGATTCTCCCTCCTCATGCCACTTGTCCTCCCCACCTCCCATTTACTTATGTGCATCAACACAAAGCTGTCCATGGACTCTCTCCTTTGTTCTGGAGTTATCATTCTGGGAATAAAAAGGAGAGTGGATAGACCATGCACAGTGTGTGGGATGGAAAGTGCCAGAGAATTCAGGTGTCTGTGAGGCTGGAGGAAGCCTCCTCTTTGGGGGCGAGGACACTGGCTCAGTCTGTGCTGCGTCCAGCCTCAGGGCCAGCTGGGAGCAGGTGTCATTTGCTCTTCATCCCACTCTAAATAGGCAGGTGTGAACGCTGGTACAACAGGCTTTCTCAGGCTATTTTCGATTGTGTGCAGCTGGTGTTTGAAAGAGCATTGCATTTAGGAATAGGGCTACTTTATGCTCTGGGGGTGAGGAAGGATGGAATGAGAAGACTCTGGTTCTGACCCATCCCAAACCACTGTGCAACACCCTGTCTCCGAGGTAGCCCAGAGTGGAAAGTGCCTGGGGTCCTGCATACCCACTGCTGCTAGTGGCTTATTAGCCATGAACATATTGTTGCCTGATTTCTGAGATAGCACTTGTCACATCCAGAGGAAGAAGTAACTATGAGATGTGAGAGATATTGCTGGTGGCAGGGGGTAGGAAGGGGAATGGTGGGAATCCCGAGGGTTAGTGTGGTCTGTGGGGCCCAGGCCCAGGTGAGCAGGTACTGAAATTCTCTAGGATAGAGGATGTAGCGATGCTAAAGGCAGCCATCACTGCCTTAATTTTACAACGATTTTACGTGTGTTTGCACCTGCACTCTGAGGAATTTCGAGGCTGGACGTGGTGGGATGTGCCTGTCTTCAAGGTCCTGCCCTTCCACCTGAACTTGTGCGTGTGTGCTGTGTGGGTGGGTGGGTGGGTGGTGTATGTAGCAACAGTAATATAAGGAATATATCTAATGCGTTTTTCAAGACCTAAACAGATGCCCTTCGGGGTATGATTTCAACCAAGAAAGGTAAAAGAAAGTATTGCACAGATTATTGTCCGAATATGGATACATAATGGTGCTATTAAAAGATTTAAAATTACAGTTCCCGCTGCCTGATATAAGGAGGCTGAGCCTAAGGTGTTTGAGAAATCGTCTTATAGTGTTCACAGAGTCATTCTGCACCATTGACTACTAAAAGGAATTTTCTCTCATTAGAGAAAGGATGCTCAGAAAAAGACTAGAATCGCAGAGCGCTCGCCAGGGCTGTGCTTGTGGGGTTTGGGGCTGACTCTCCCAGGTGGGGAGGCTCCTGGGGGCTCTATTCCTGCTCGCCGGCATCAGCAGCCATGGGGCTCAAGGAAACCATCGGGGCGGGGAGGATCATGTGTCCCTCTATGCTTCCTACATCCTTTTGCAAAGGAGAGGAAAGGCCCTCTTCAGGATGGACCTCCCCATTGTAAAATCACAGTCAGTGCCATCCATGAGCATAGGCTGTTCACTGTGGCAAATACAAATTTAGTGTAAATGCCTCATCTTGCTCCCCGGTGGAAGGGCAGGACCTGAAGACAGGCACTCCCACCACGTCAGCCGAATTCCTCAGAGTGCAGGTGCAAACACACGTAAAATCGTTGTTAATTAAGGCAGTGATGGCTGCCTTAGCATCGCTACATCCTCTATCCTAGAGAATTTCAGTCCTGCTCACCTGGGCCTGGGCCCCCACAGGCCTACACTAACCCTCGGATTCCACCTTCCCCTTCCCTACCCCCTGCCACCAGCAATATCTCTCACCCATCTCAATAGTTACTTCTCCTCTGGATGTGACAAAGTGCTATCTCAGGGAATACAGGCAGACAA